GTTTAAAATATTCATGAAGGCCACAGACTACCCATAATTATGAAAAATACCAAAGCATATTCATTTGTGTCCTAAATTTAATATTTGTGAGAGTCAGTGAGTTTGATAAAACATGCATATGCTGGAAAGGTTTTTTTTCCCTTATGTGCCTGGTGCCTATAAAACGGATTTCAAACATCTGGAAAGACTGGGTTTACAAAATAAAGATGGAATAAAAGTGAGTTCACAGTTAAGTAACATGTTCAGCAATTGGGTAATCGGCTCACAAACTTGAATTTCCCTGATGTATTGTTGAACTGCCTCGAGCACATTTTCACTTCTACTTTCTCAATGTTTTCCATAACTGAGAAACTCATATGATCGCTTTCTTCCCCTGCTTCCTAGGGAAAGAAACTTGGCAATTGTACTTGGGATATTTTAATCAGGTAAGTTTTCCTGGCTCTTCCTGTTAATCACCTCAGACAGTGCACTGCAGCTTGGGCTGGCAATATGAAACAAAGGGTTACATTCAAGATAAGGTTCGTGACCCTTCATTAGTCCTTTCCCATACCATCTCTCCACTGAATGTGCACTTCTTTGGCAAGAAACCTGCTCTGAGCCCCACAACGAGCAAACAGAGACACATCATTTCTTTCACTAATAAAGTAGGCAGGGCTAAAGTCACAGCCATCATCATTCAGGGTACAAACAACCGTGGCTAGGTTCATTCACCAGAGAGAAGGCAAAAGGGGAAGATTCTCACAGGCCTAGCAGCCTTTACCAGGTCTTTAATGCCACAGATGTTTAAGACAGCATCTGGAGTTTAATATCAAAACAGCTAGCTGGGCAATTTGAGTATTTCAGGCTTTACTCTATCTGCACAAGCGCCTATGGAGAGAATGGAAGTTAAAAAACATCGCTTTCTTCTTTACCTTTACTCCCCATCATGGATAGTAACTGACCACTCTTTAGTAGTCGTCTTTCTTATTTAGAAATCTAGAAATAAATTACAGAGAATGGAAGCAAACACTAATTTATAAATGGACAATAATCCACATTCAAATAAGTAGCCAGTACCCAACGCAATCACTAGAAGAAGGCCTGTGGGGTCACATAGTGCCTAGAAGCTCTAGGAAGTTCCCTGGAGGGATAAGAATGGACATTTCCTTAAGCTATGGAAGTTTTTTCTGTCTCCTTCCCTGTCTCTCTCTCCTTTTGCCACACAAAGGGAAAATATTAAGAGGGAATATGTGAGATTAAAAAAGAAAAATCAAAGCGAGGCATGGTGGCTCATGCCTGTAATTCCAGCAGTTTGGGAGGCTGAGGTGGGAGGATTGCTTGAGCCCAGAAGTTGGAGACTGGCCTGGGCAACATAGTAAGACCTTGTCTCTGCTAAAGATAAAAAAACTTAGTTGGGTATGGTGGTGCACACCTGTAGTCCCAGTTACTCTGGAGGCTGAGGTGAGAGGATCACTTGAGCCCAGGAGTTCAAAGATGCAGTGAGCCATGATGACACCACTGCATTCCAGCCTGGGTGACAGAGTGAGACTCTGTCTCTAAAAAAAATTAAAAGAAAAATAAATTTCAAAAGAGTCAAGTTTTTGGCTGGGTGCAGTGGCTCACACCTGTAATCCCAGCACTTTAGGAGGCCAAGGTAGGTGGATCACCTGAGGTCAGGAGTTCGAGACTAGCCTGGCCAACATAGTGAAACACTGTCTCTACTAAAAATACAAAAATTAGCCAGGCGTGGTGGCGCCTGCCTGTAGTCCCAGCTACTCGGGAGGCTGAGGTGCGAGGATCACTTGAGCCCAGGAGGCAGAGGTTGTAGTAAGCCAAGATTGCGACACTGCATTCCAGCCTGGGCAACAGAGTGAGACCTCGTCTCAAAAAAAAGAAAAAAAAAGAGTCAAGATTTTATTTTCACATGAAACACCACACATACACACACACAAACGCTTATATATAGAGTACTTTGGAAGTGTTACATACACAGCTATAAGAAGGAAGGCAAAAGAGTTGCTGTCAGACAGACATAGGTTCAAATCCTGGTTCTACCACTTCAAGTTCTATAGTGTCAGTCAAGTTACTTCAACTCTTTAAGCCTCAGTTTCCTCATTTGTGAGAATGCAGGTTATAATATATAATGAAAGAAAATTACTGCAAGGACTACATAACATATGTAAACCAATAACCACAGAAGTTTTGCCGTCATACAAGTGTATGTACTGCACTTGTCTTGGACTCTATGGCAGTGGTAAACTTCCGAATGCCGATCCCTGTAGATCTTCATGGAAAAAGATGTTTATCTCAGTACACTGTCCCTGTACACAGATCTTCCATAAAGAAACATATTTCACATATTTATGTTTTGGGTCAAGGGGTAAAGCAAGTAACGTGAAAATGCTTGTATGTATTTTGATGAAAAGGTCTTTTTGAGGATGAGGCATTTGAGAATCTTACTTATTTTTTCCCCTCATTTAAAAATCTTTTTGAGAATGGGCATGGTGACTCATACCTATAATCTCAGCACTTTAGGAGGCTGAGGCGGGAGAATCCCTTGAGTCCAGGAGTTCAAGACCAGCCTGGGTAACACAGACAGACCCCCCTCATCTCTACAAAAAAACCCCGAAAAAATTAGCTAGGCATGGTGGCTTGCACCTGTGGTCTTAGCTACTCAGGAGGCTGAGGTGGGAGGATTGCCTGAGCCCCAGAGATTGAGGCTGCAGTGAGCCGTGATTGTGCCACTGCATTACAGCCTGGGCAATAGAGCAAGACCTTGTCTTAAAAAAATAAAAAATAAAACTAAAAATCTTTTTGGTTCTGTTTTTAAACCTTCCATTATTTTGAGATTCACAGGCTGCAGTTTATTAAGGGAAGAATTTGATAAAAAGAAACTGCCAAACCTCTAGAGATTGAATACATCTTTTACTGTGTGAAATTTATTCTAACGTATTTTATGTTTTGCCCATCACTTAAAAATAAAGAAAAAAAAATTGACGCCTAGAGTTTTCGAAATCTGGCAAATATAAAGGCCAATAATATAGCTACTTTGAAAATGGAAGTGCAGAACTTCCAAAAGTTAGGCAATATTGAGAAGCAAAGGAGACTAAGACAGAAGTTCAGATAATGATGCAATAAATGGTCAGGGGTTCAGTGTACAAGAGGGAAGGGATGAAACAGAGACAGCTTCTTGCTCTCGGTTGCAGACTGTAAGGAAACAAATGCTGAGGCACTAACACTGTTTCTAAACCCAGATTTCTGGGTTTTAAGATGATTGTTCTTATACAGCTAATAGCAGAATTCTGGACAATGAGTTAACTGCATTTTCAGCTTGTGTTAAGTTGACAAAAATTAACATGGCTTAATTAAATTATTCTTCATTACTTTATCTTTTAAAAGTGGTTATGGGTTACTTCATTTGTCACCCACAAAAAGATCGCTGTCCTCTGCCAAATTCAGCATCAGAGAATATCTTTAATGGAACTGCTTTGATAAAACCTTGGCACCACACATCCCTCAGTTCCAAACTGGAGCTCCAAGTATGGCCAAGTATGAATTTACTGGACCCCTTAAACATAAAATGCAATCAATAGGTTCTCCTCTTTCCCACCGTAAGCTTACACTTCTTGGAATCACCACTTTCGTGGTCCCAGAAGAACTGTTATAGTTGGCCAAACCATCTATGACCCAAAACAGCCACTACTTATCAGCCCAACATTCTGGTTCCCACACTTTGTTTCCATATTAACTCTGAAACTACTTGGATGATTTTTCGAGACACTGAAGTCAAGTTTTTACACTATTTCCAACCTGTCAAAACACATTCACACACACTGCCTTACTTTCCCTTCTGAAAAATTAAATGAATGACAGTTAAAATGCATCTCTTCATTACCCTATCCTGCTACTCCAGCCCATGTTCCCTGTGTCCAGGATCCCACCACTACACATCCTTTGGGTCAGGCACAAACCCAGAAGTCACTCTTGACTCCTCCTTCTCCTTGACCATCACCCAACCACCAGATGCAGTTGGATCCATCTCTACATGGCTACTTTTTTCTTGTTCTGTCTCCTAAGATCAAGGCCACCATTATCTCCTGTCTGGATCACTGCAACAGCCTTGGTGGACCTGGCTTCTCCAATATACTCTCCACACTGCAGACTGCCATGCTTAAAACTTCACACACACTCCACTAACATTAAGCAAAGTTCAAACACACACAGTGCCCTTTACCATCTGGACTCATGCCCAGCATTCCCGCCTCATTCCTTACCAACCTAAATCCTTCCCTAGCATCCTATACTTTGAACTTCTTGGAACTTCTTGAACCTGACAAACTTTTCCATACATCTAAGCCTCTGTTAAACTGTTTCTCTGACTATCCTTCAGTACTCCATAAAGCGGTCATTTCCCCCAGGAAAGCAACACAACATCTACCCACCTGCACCCCCCACCCAACCCCGCCAGATTAGAAACCTGTCCTGTGCATCCCCAGCAAATTCAGAGTTCACTTCCGTTACACTGTGCAGGCACTGCTCAGCTTGTCATTGACCCCTGTCAGACTGGGCGCAAAGTGAAGAAAAGGATTATGTCTTATTCATAAGTACCCAGAGCTTAGCACTAATGTGCAACATGTGCTTTTGGAAGGTGCTCGATAAATGCTTCCATCTATTAAGGTACAGGTTTTATGTAATTTTACAATGAGAAATCTGAGGCAGAAGGCAGCTGAGTGACTTGCCTGATGTCACAGAACTAGTTCAAAGAAGAGGTGAGACTGAAGGCACACCTTGTGATTCCTGCCCTGTGGGACATAGCACTAGACTGCTATGGTTGTAGTTTCAAAGACTAAACACTCTAAAGCAATAGAGGAACGGTGCTGGCAGTGTTAGCAAATCTGAATGACAACTTTCCCTATGGTGGACACAGAATAAGCCTTACATTCAGTGGGCCTGTAAGCAGCCACATTCTTAGGCAAGGTCCATCCTTTCTACCAGTCATAAATCTTTAAGTTATACCATACCTTTTTCCTCCGTCACATGGTGAAGTAACTTCTCAAGTCCAGGAAGTTTCAGCAACAAGATGCAATTTGGAAACATGTTATCCACCACAACTTGATCAAGGGGCTGAAACTTCCCCTGAAAAAACACTTCAGTTAGTTGGAAAGCAAGCATTTCATTCAACAAAGACATTCAGAAAAAAAGAGAAAAAGACACATTTACTCATGACTGGGCCTTTAAACTTAGTGCAGAGCCACCTATTCCATCTAAGGAATCCCTACAATGGGACAGGCTCTAGGACGGACCCCAGCTCCCTTTAGGAAGTGCCTGTGAGCACCGCCGTCCCACGCAGCACACCATCTACCTCAGGTGTACAGTCCCCACATGAAACGGGGAACAAAAGCAATCAATAAAAGCACTGGAAGCCACAGAAGCTTGCAAAGATGGTGGAGACTGCCTGGGGCTGGTCCAACCCATTCAATTTGAAGAACCAGCTGTGGTCACAGAGCAAGAGTCCTGACTATCACATTGGAACAAGCCTAGACCAGGCTCAGACATACATCTGCCTCCCCATTGTCACTCTAGGGATGATGAAAGAAGCACCCACCACAAAAAGAAAATACAAAAGTGAATCTACCCCTGTCAGAGCTGCCTGACAATGCTTCCAAATTTAGACCAGAATAAAAGAAAAGACAGCCAGAGGGAGAAGTCCTGGGAAGCTGCAGACAGGCTGAATCAGGCTCAGCCACAGAAGTTTATACGGCCTGGTTGCCAGTGGGCCAGAAGTGCAGACCATATGGATTCACAACATCATTCTTCGGAATTAGGTCCAGTTTTTCTTAACTGTACTAGTAGCAAGTAGAGGTGAAGTTCGTCTAAATTAAGGTATTAGCCCCCTGATTTGGGGACACCAGACTGTACCAGATGTATGGCCTTGCCCATGCCCCACTTCTAGCTCGCTCTATCTCTCGTGTACTGACAACTCCTCCTGAAGACACAAAAACTGTGTCTGATCAATTTCTGCAAATGCAGCTTTCTTGGGTTTTAAGGGTAAAATCTTTTCAATCATTTGGGAGCACATGTGATAGCTTGCCATACTTTCTCTTAGGTTAACTAGTGCCATGAACTATCTCAATTTAAATATTCTTTTTCCTTCAAATAGTAAGAATAATGCATAGATTTTTCCCAAGTCTTACTGTCTTTAGATTTCTACCTTAAATCTTTAGTCTTCCATGATCAATCAATATGTTAAATATTTGACTACTCTAAAACAATATTCATATGTAATGGACTACCACACAGTCATGATATAAAATAATTTCATAATTAACTAGCGTTTCATTCTTATTTTTATTTACCGTATATACATTGAAGGAAATGCAATAAGCAACCTGCCTTGACTATAAAGCTAGTAGCAGTGGGATGCCCAGAAAAAAAGTTATTTTTACTGATGTTAAAATAAAGTTTAAAAGAAAAGGTCACATTTCAAAAGTGTGTATCATAATTTTTAACTTAATAGGAAATGATCATATCTAAAATGCAGAGAAGGAAATACCCAAACATCTCAAGTATTACTTTAAAGGGCATTTCTGGCACTTGGGAAGACGTGTTTGGGAAGTATGACAGTTTAAAATGAAAGCCAAAGACCATCCTGAACAGCATTTCTGCTTCATTCTGCACCTGTCAATGTGAGATCCAGAGCACCCCAGAGGCGCCCAGAGTGCCAGGATAGGGTTAATCCCCCAGAGTCATGGTCCTAATGGGAGATGGAGAAATGCTATCAAAAAGGGGAGGGGAGCCTTAAGTGCAGATCAATACATGTGCTGAGGCTGGTTGGTGTCTTTCTGCTAATTTATCCCAGAAAACACCACATAGGTGAGCCACTGAGGTTTTCAAATTCCTCACTGAATATTCCCCAGGGCCTTCCTGGTGGTGATTAGGACCATTTCTGTTCCTTAGAGACATGAGGCTTACCAGCCTCACAGCTTGTGTGCCCTCGTTATACTGGCCATCACAGTAGCTTCCAGATCAAGGGACACATGATTAAACGAAGGGATAAAACTTCACTAATCCACAGTGAAGGGCAGAGGGCAGGGAAGGGGGAGGCTAAAAGAGGCTAAGCTGCATCAAGAGAAAGCATGCATTGATACTTTATGACTTTCAGCATTTATAGCAACTTAAATTAATTTACCTACCAAATGGAGGTTTCAGGAATTTGGTCTAAGGATTAAGCAAGAAATTTGTAAGTGTTCAAACTTTATGCAAACATGAGAGTCCAAAAAAACCAGATTTTTCTAAGCAGTTTGAGTAACACTTATCACTTAAAATTATTAATTAAAAGATTTTCCAACTATGGTTGATGGATTCCTGGGTCATGAAGTGCCCAAGCTCAAAGCTATTTTCCTAATACTGCTAAGATGCTATCTGCATTTTCACTGTGTGGACATCTGCACTGATGATTCAAATGCAATGGTGGGTAAAACTGCTGGCTCCTTAGCCCGAGTCTGCTGGTGGCACCAGACTGTCCTAGTCATCATTTGGATCCTCATTGCCGTTTATGTGCAGTTTAAAAAATGCCAGTATCACTTAAGAATATCCTTGAGTAAGTAGGAAAAGCAATTAATTTTACTTAAATCTTGAATCTTGAACACAAGTCTTGTAAATTATCTGTGATGAAAGTGAGGTATGGCTAAAGGCCTTTGGATGCTTAACCAAAGGTAAGCTGATTACCAGGAAGAGCATGTTCTCCTGGGGCTGGCTTAGTTGCAAGCAGAACCAGCTGCTTTTTCACGGATACCATTTTTATTTGAAAAACCCACTATGAATTATGGTGATTCACGCCCAGTATTAGGCAGAATATGAATGAAGTGAGCCTGTCATTTCAAGGGAAAGATTGACAGTATTTGCAGCCAATAATAAAATTTGAGCTTTCAAGCAAAAATCAGAATTGTAGAATATTTCTATCTGCCACTATGACAGCTTCTCAATACCTAAAGAGCTTTCTGATGAGATCAGTAGTAACATTAACAAAAGGGAGTGTGTGTGTGTGTGTGTATAAAATGAGATGTGTCAACATTTGGAAGATATGCATAACTCAACAAATCAGTATTTTCCAAATGACCAAAGCATGATGTTACAAAATCATGCATGGGTAAAAAGATCCTTTATTTATTTTTTTTTGAGACGGAGTCTCGCTCTGTCGCCCAGGCTGGAGTACAGTGGTGTGATTTCAGCTCACTGCAAGCTGCGTCTCCCAGGTTCACACCATTCTCCTGCCTCAGCCTCCTGAATAGCTGGGACTACAGGTGCCTGCCACCACGCCCGGCTAACTTTCTGTATTTTTAGTAGAGACGGGGTTTCACCGTGTTAGCCAGGATGGTCTCGATCTCCTGACCTCGAGATCCACCGGCCTCGGCCTCCCAAAGTGCTGAGATTACAGGTGTGTGCAACCGCGCCCGGCCAAGAAAGATCCATTTTAAGTGCAAGATAGACCAATGGATTTTAATGTAACAGAGCATAAAAAGTTAACTGACAAAGTTTCAGATTCCACATTGCAACTAAACTTTAAAAAACTACCACTTGTTGATTTTTTAGGTAGTATTAAAGAAAAATATCCACAATCTAAAAAGGCTGTAACATTATTTCTTCCTTTTCTAACTACAAAGATGTATGGGGCCGCATATTTTTCATATAATCTCACCAAAATAACATACGGAAACAGACTGAATGCAGAATCAGGTATAAGAATCCAGTTGTCTTCTAGTTAAGCCAAACACTAAACAGATTCGCAAAAATGCAAAAATGTCACATGCCTCATTAAATTTGGTTGTTTCAATAAAAAATGTGTTATTTATGTTAACATGTAATGGTCTTATTATTTTTAACTTTTAAATAAATAATTTTTAAATTTCTCAGTTTTAATTTCTAAGAGTGAGTATTGCTAGAACCCACAGAAACATAAGCTCTTTGGAACCCTTAATAGTTTTAATTGTAAATATATCCTGAGACCAAAATATTACAGAAATTCTGGCTAAAATTATTACTATTAGTAAGCTGTGTCTTTATTTCTATTCCAAAGGTAAATTTTATCCATCTGGGATTCCTTAAGTCTCAACTAGCACATCCCCATTAATAAGCTTCTACTGGACCTGCCCCAGGTTACCTATTCCACAGTCTCTCACTAAAGAAGATACATTTTTCCTCTCCTAAGACATGTGGTCAATTTTTAAATACCTGTTTTGTATTTCAAGGGTAAGGAATACTTAATGATAAAGGAGTGTTAGTTGCTAGGCTTTGTCAAGCAGTAAGGTGCATAGCACAGTGAGTCAGGCAAGTCAGAGGTCACAAGTAAGCCAGGGGCAGACTGGATCTAGAGTAAGGTGCTGCTTCTCTGGCCTGTGCAGTAGTGCTCTGTCCTGCACTGGCCCATATATGACTCATGTTTTTTCTAGTTACTGTATTAGATCTGAAGATAGAATCCATCTTTGGATCATTAAAAGCAGAGAGAGGAGATCAAGCAAAAATAGTTGATTCTGTTTCCTCACTGTGGATGCCCCAAACTGGAAACTCACCTCCTTATCAGCCTTTATGAGGTAGTGGAGAAGCAGAAATAGAGGATCCACAGGTGTGGCGAAGTGGAGAAGACCTCCTGCAGATTACAAAAAGGACGAAGGGAATTACGCCTTGGAAAGACAATGTGGCTATTTCACCTTAATCTCAAAGTGAAAAACAGTGTTGAAAAATATATGTGAAATCCCAAATTCAAATCTCTTCTTATACAGGTCTGAGAGTCTATGTGATTCTCTCAAAAGGCAGAATGTGCTCTATGAGATTTTACTCCAAAGAGCTTCAAATCCCTGTGTGGAGAGGAGAATCAAGACCCTCAAGTCGATCTTTAACTTTCCATTTCTTCTTTAGAAATCATTTTTAACACAGCCTCCCAACCCCCTGCAAAAAGAGGGGTTAGGAGAAAGCACAGACAGAATGAGAACACAGCAATGTTAGGAAACCTGTATAGTCAGTCTATCTATAAAGCTGCAGTAAAATGTAACTTCCTGTGCTTTTGAGGACAAAGCCATGGGAAAGCAGTGACATTCTCTCTATACACAGTCCCTTCTGTAGTCTGTGGGCAGCAGGATGTGGGATGCTTTGAATACCCACTGACTGCCCCCACCCCAGAACATGAGGCAGAACAGTTCCATTGGCCTACTCTTCCTTTAGTCAGCACTGTCCCCAAATTAAGGGAACACCACAAGAAACAGAACTTTGGTGCTGGGGGGTGTATGTGTGGATGGGGGTGGGGGAGCACGTGGGCAGGCAGGTATATGACAAAGCATTTTAAAGAAACTTTGTTAAGTTCGAGCCTATGTTAGAAGCCATATCAGTATTCAGTTTCAAGGAAATAACATGTTAAAAACACAAAGATCCTCAAAAGAGTTTCCAATCAACACGGTATGTGCCCCATGTACAAACCTAACTTCTAACTCAGGACGTGTCACCGTTTTAGGAGACAAATCAGAGTTGCTAGCTTAAAATTTCCTACCGTCTAAGACACACAGGAGATGACCTAACCTTAGTGCTCAAATGAGCTTTCCTTTCTCTTGATTAAATCTGCTCTGATGCCAAGGAAGGCTAAATCAGTGACCAGACTCCAAACCCCGCGACAGGCCCACAACCCCACGTGTGAAGAATAGAAGAGTTGCAGTATGTGTTTAGTTATTGGAAATGCTTACACCTACCTGATTGAACTGACTGATTTATAAACCAAGAATGGTGTTTTTCCTTGAAAACTTTTACTTCAAACAGCTGCTGTAGACACATATTGAACAAGTAAATGGCTCCTTCTCCTGTTAAGAAAAATCTGTCTTTTATTTGTAAGTTTTCTCACACACACACCCCCCAAAAGACTATCCAGTATCTCTGAGGAATGTTCCTAATACGAACATAAACATACACAGGTCTATTCTAAAATTTCCTTGATTCCAAGGAAAGCCTATAGCTATTATACATAGATGGTAATTTTCCAGCTCCATAATCCTCACTGGACTTAAACCAAAAAATCAAAAAGTGCAAGTCATTTATCTTAACTGCTACAAAGCCTGTCCTTAAATCCTCCATCAGATCAAGAGGGAATATCCATTCCTAAACTATCAAAACACAATAGTTCAGCCATATGACATGAGCTGGCACATGGGTCCCTGCCTCTGGGCAGTGTGTGGCTCTCCCCACACAGGGTCTAAGACAGGGACCAAGCCCATGGACCCCACAGGCCAACCCTAAGTGAGAAAGACAGACATGCTTGAAGCCATAGGGAGTGAGTAAAGCTTTATTCAACTGAATGAATTTTCTCCTTTTCTTTCTTAACCAAAAAAAAAAAAAAAAAAAGGAGGAGGCAGAAGAGGGTGAAGACTGTGCACATCTGCATGTTTTATCACTTCAACTAATGAAAAAAAATTCTTTTAACCATAGCACAATCTCTGGAGGCAAGGATGCTGCGTTTAACTCTATCTTCACCATATGCTGGGCACATGCCCTTGGGGAAGTTACATAAACCTTCCTGTGGCTGTTTCCACATCTGTAAAATGGGGACAATATTGAACCTCCTCATAGGGTTTTTTATAAGAATTAAAAAAAGAACACATGTAAATTTCCTGAACCAATACTTGGCACATGGTAAGAACTCAGCAAATGTTAGCCTTTACTTTCCCACTGCCAATGTAGCAAATAAAAACATTTGTTCCTCTGTGGTCTATGAGCATTTAGATAAAACAGAAATTTTAAAAGAGGGCTGGCTTTCTTATGTACCTGTACTTTTCTTAAATGCTTTAGAACCCTTACTGCTACCTAAAACTTCTCTTCAAGAAATATTTCTCACCTCAACTTAGTCTGATATATAACTAAGAATTCTAAATATAGCTGACCAATTACAGTCAATTTCATTTTGAAGAAAAGAACACTGGAGAAAGTCAGGAATGTGTTTCTTCTCTTGTTGCTTCTATTTACATGTCTCTATAACAACAAGGCACTACCCATTGGCCCTCCCGTACTTTTACTATTCAGTATTACTGTCACCAGGAGAAACCTCTAATATGGCAAGTATCAGGTGTCTACGCAAAACCTTATAAATTAATGGAAAAACAATTACACACAGAGATAAACACTATCACCCATATCACTCCATATTTAGAATACATTTTAATATTTTTGCCTAAAAAATGTGAAGACAAAACTGAAAATGCACTGAATATAAAGTTAAAATAAAATTGTTTTTCAATAAAATATGAATCTCTTCAATATACAATGCTTATCATTAAAAAAAATCATCCCCTGACAGAGAAAAAAATGTACTACTTTTTGGTCAGAAGAAAATAGGGAAGTATAGCTAAAACTGAAACTAATCAAAATCTTGGCATGTCAAGTAAAAGCCTTCTGTTTTTGTTTTTGTTTGTTTAATTCTGGTTGTTTATTTTACTTTATAAGATAAAATGAATAAAAATGGAGGCTAATGTTGAATAACTACTCTAAGAAAAGTTGGCTTAAAGAAGCCAAAGAAAATTAATCTGTTTTTAAAGAGACTCAAACATGCTACTTTTTTGTTTTGCCAGTATTTCTGACGGCTGAATAGTTCTGTGAATTAAAATTATGAGAAGAAATTGTTTAAATGTTTAAGTCAAATGAATTATCTGGGAAGACTAGTAATGTCATCAGCTTGTTTTCTTCTCATCATGGTGCCATCTTAACTTTAAAAGCTATTCAGAAAGAGCAAAAGCAAGGACACAAAGACATAAAAGTATATATACTCATTAGCCACAACATTCAAGAACATTCAAGTTACGAGAAGAGAACTTACCTGAACACGGGTTAACCAGTTTTACAAACATTAGCCCACTTTTCATCTTCTTTGAAGCATCTTTTAAATATTCTGAAAATAAACCATGAATATCTAAAATTAAAACACACAACTGCTTTGCTGCTCACCTTACTTTATCCTGTTTTCCTTTCTTCTACTTACACAACTTTTCTAAGATTTTTAACTCAATTTATCACTTACAAATGATGTGATCTTGAGCAAATTACCAATTTCTCTGCAAGCTGCAGTTGAATTTCAGGTAGTTTAAATTTATTTCTATGAGGAATAATGAGAAGCAGGGGTCTAGAATCAGAAGGCCTGGGTGATAATCTTGGCTTAGCCACTTGGATAGCTTTGTCACCTTGGGCAAGAGTCTTAATCTCCTGTCTCAAATGCCATTTATAGAATGATAATAATAGTATACTTGTTCTTCAAAGTATCAAATTAGCCAATCTACTGAAAACATTAAAATAATCAGGCAAATAGAAACATGAAATAAATGATAGCTATTATTAGTAGTACTATCATTTGTAATTGTTACTGTTATTATGAAGTAGAGAATTGTAAACATATTTACCTGAAACTTACATTTTTTACACAATTAAAAATATAAGTTGCCTAATTTTTTTTTTTTTTAGGCAACTTATATATTTTTTTCTTTGCCTAATTTTTGAGTGGGATATTTGGCTTTTTTGTTGTTGTTGTTACTACTTTGTGAGGTATTCTTATATACTAAGGATATCAACTATGTTTTTAATCCTGCTCATAATGACTTTTGCCATATAAAAGATAAAAAATCTTCATGCAATCATATCAATCTTTTTCATTATGGTTGTATCCTTTATATCACACTTAGAAAGGCCTTTTCTTAAGATTATGTGAATTGCCTATATTTTCATCTAATATTTAGAATATATTTCATCTAATATTTATATTTTTAACTTATCTGGACTACATCTGGGTATAAGATATTAAGAGGAAATCCAATTTAAATATTTTTTTCGATGAGTTAACCAGTTGTACCAAAACCATCAAGTTTTTATCACACAAATTAAAACATAATAACCATGACTATTTTATTGGTAACACTCATCATGTATTTTGAGTGGCATATTCATGGAACTCTCAAAATGTCCCTATTACCAAAAGGAACAATGGGGCTCTGATTAGTAAGGGGGCATAGCAACAATTTACCAAAGAGAGCAAAAGAGAAAGGATGAAAGAAAGGAGATTTTACTCTCTTTTATTTTTCTATGGCCCCCACTCCCTTTACTCTACTTCAGATCTTCATAAGCTTAAATAGAGCAGACATATTTTAGAAGTTGGCTTACCCATGAATGGTTAAAATACGACCATTTTTTTCTTAAACTAATAGTGACATTAAGTATCTACAGAAAAAAAAAAAAAAGAGATTTCTACTTTCCACCAAGATGGAATAACAGGAATTCAATTAACCCTCTGAAACAACAACAACAAAAACCCACAAAACACCAGACAAAATACATGTAACAACTATTCTCAAGGCACTACACACAAGCCATGCAGGAGTCCCTGAGAGGTGGGAAACAAATTAGATGAGCCCTATGATTGCCCAGCTTACTGCTTTAAAAGAGTTTCCAGGCCACAGTGCAAAAAGGGAGAACACAGTAAAGCCTCGCTGACTTGCTGAATTGAAGAGATGATGCTGAGAATTCCAGCGACACCAAGGTGGTTAGGGTTCCCAGGTCAGCACACACGAAAGGAGAGGGCTAAAAAGAAACAAGACGCCAAAGATCTGCAGAGGGTCCTACTTAAGTAGGATCAGTGCATGCATGTGATGAAACTACCCAAAAGCCAGGAGAAAACCCATCTAAACAGATTTGAGGGAACAGTACCTCACACTCCCTCAGGGTCTTGAATTGTGCCTAGCCCCAGACACACTGTAAAACCTCACAATTCAAAGGGGTATAGTACTCAAAAGGGTACTCAGTAGTCGGGAACAGTCAGCCCTATTGGCTGCTCTGGTCCCACCAAACTAATTATAAAAGCAAGACCTAAAAGTATCCAATTCTTTCAAAGTAACTGTGTCCTAGAATGAAGTTCAAGAATAGTTATAGAAACACAAAAACACTCATCACCCAAAAGGACAAAATTCACAATGTCTGCCATCTAATCAAATACTATGAGGCATTCAAAGAAGCAGAAAAATATGGCCCATAATAAGCAAACAGAATCAATTACTGAAAGAGGGGTATTAATATACAAGATAATAGAATTGATAGACAAAGGCTTTAAAAACAACATTCCTCATGGACAAGTTAATTAGAGACATAGAAGATTGCAAAAAAAATACCTAAACTGAATTTCTAAAGATGAAAAACACACTGGATAAAATTAATAGCTGAAGAAAAGATAAATGAACTTGAAGACACAGTAATAGAAACCATCTAAAATGGGAACACAGAGAAAAAAACTTGAAGAAAAAAGAGTATTAGTAAACTAAGGGACAACTTTATGCATTTTAATATATGTATAACTGGAGTTTCGAAAAGGAGAAGAGGGAATGAAAAAAAATTTGAAGAAAATAAGTCTGAAACGTTCCAAATTTGATGAAAACTACAAATCCAAGAAGCTCAATGAACTCAAAGCATAAGAAACAGGAATAAAACTATACATCACAATAATACTTTGAAATCAGTAATAAAAGGAAAATCTTGGCTGGGCATGGTGGTGCATGCCTGTACTCCAGCACTTTGGGAGGCCAAGGTGGGCAGACTGCTCGAGCTCAGGAGTTCAAGACCAGCCTGGGCAATGTGGTGAAACCCTGTCTCTACAAAAAATACACGTGTGGTGGCATGTGCCTGTAGTCCCAGCTACTTGGGAGGCTAAGGTGGGAGGATCACTTGAGCCCAGGAGTTTAAAGCTGCAGTGAGCTGTGACTGCACCACTGTACTCCAGCCTGGGTGACAGGGTGAGACTCTTTCTCTAAAAAAACACTGTTATTGTTCAATTGTCTACATCTCCCTTCAGTTCTGTCAGTTTTTGATTCATGTAATTTGGGGCTCTGTCATTGGGTGCATGTTTATAATCGCGGTATCTTCCCAATAGACTGTTACATATCTAGTAATAATTTTTATCATAAAGTTGATTTCATCTGATACTAGTATTGCCACTCCAGCTCTCCTTCAGTTACTGTTTGCATTGTATATCTTTTCCCATTCATTTACTGTCAACCTATTTTTGTTTTTAAATTTAAAGTGTGTGTAAGTGTGTCTAGTAGATAGGATATAGTTGGGTCAGGAGGTTCCCACCCCCCCTTCCCTGCATTCTGCCAATCTCTGCCTTTTAACAGAAGTGCTTAGTGCATTTATATTTAATATAATTATGGATAAGGTAGGATTTATATCTGCCATTTAGCTCTGTTTTCTGTATGTCATATTCCTTTGGATTCCCCATTACTGTCTTATTTTGAGTTAAACAGATGTTTTCTAGGGTACCATTTTTGATCCTTTGTTGTTTCTTTCATTTAAAGGAGTTATTTTCTTAGTGGTTATCCTGGGAATTACAGTTAGTATCTTAACTCACAATGTAGTTCAGATTAGTATTAACTAAGTTTCAAGAGTATTTAGTAAGTTTTCTGCATATTCCTTTTCCTCTCCTCTCCTTTGTGCTACTGTCATACAAACTACATCTTTATGTATTATAAGCCTGTTAACACAATTTATAATTATTGCTTTATGTAGTTATCACCCAAAAGAGTTACAAAAATATATTTGTGCTTTTATGTCTATTTCTGTATTTATCTTTACTAGTGCTCTTTATTCTTCATGTGGATTCAAGTTATCATCTAGTGCCTTATCCTTTCAATCTGAAGGACTCCCTTCATAATTTTTGTGGGACAGGTCTGCTAGTGACACATTCTGTTTCCCTTTATCTTAGAATGTCTTGGTTCCTTCCTCAGTTTTGAAAGATAATTTTGACAGATATAGAATTCTTTGTTGAGACTCTCTTTATTTCAGCACCTTAAATATGTCATCCCACTCACTTCTAGCCACCATAGCTTCTAATCAGAAGTCAGCTGTTAATTTTATTGAGGATCCCTTTTATTTGATGAGTCATTTTTCTCTTACTGCTTTCAAGATTCTCCTTGTGTTTTCACAGTTTGACTATGACACACGCAGGTATGGATCCCCTTGAGTTTATCCTATTTAGAGTTTCCTGCACTCATTAGTTGTGCAGACAAATATTTTTAAAATCAAATTTGGGAAGTATTTGCATTATTTCTTCAAATATTCCTCTCCCACCCTTCTCTTCTCATCTGGGATTCCCATAATGCATATAATAGTAGGCTTGATGGTGTCCTACAGGTCTCTGGGACTACATCCAGGTTCAGTTTTCTTTATGCTTCTTCTTTCTGTTCCTCACCCTGGATAATCTCAATTGACCTGTCTTTGAGTTTTCTAATTTTTTCCTCTGCCAGCTGAAATCTGCTGTTGAGCTCACTAGTGAATTTTTCATTTGTTATTATACTTTTCAAATCCAGAATTTAGATCCTTTTACAATTTATCTGTCTGTTGATATTCTCTATTTGGTGAAACTTCATTGTCATACTTGCCTTTCATTCTTTAGACATGGTGTTCTTTAGTTCTTTGACTATGTTGATAGTAGCTGCATAAAATCTTTGTAGAATAAATCCAACATCTCAGCCCCCCTCAGAGACAGTTTCTATTGACTACTTTCCCTATTGTGTATGGGTCATACTTTCTTGTTTGTGGATGTATGTCTCATGCTTTTGTTAAAACAAAACGAAACAAAACAAAACTGAGCACTTCAGATAATAATAAATGTGGCAATTCTGGAAATCAGACTCTCCTCTCCCAACTCCCCAGGATTTGTTGCTGCTGTTTTTTGCAGTTATTGCAGTTGTTGCTGTTTGTTTGTTTAGTGACTTTCTGGACTAATTCCGTAAAGTCTGTATTTCTTGCAGTGTGCAGCCACTGATGTCTCTGTTTAGTTAGCTTAGTGGTTAGCTGATGCTGTGAACCAATAAGTGATCCAATCTTTGCTGAGCGGTGCTGTGTGTGTAGGTTGAG